CAACCCTAAGACTTTACCTTGTCTACATTCTTTCTGTGAGCACTGGCTGGAGGGATTACCTCTGGATAAGAAGAATGAGACCTATTACCTCTCTTGTCCCGCTTGTCGTCATTGTACAGAGTTACCACAACAAGGAGCACGAGCCTTACCTGTAGCATTTCATGTAAACAACCTCAAAGAGATGTACAGTCTAATGAAGAAAACAGCAGTTTTGCCAAGTCCTCAAGAGGCCACTGTAGTGATCATGGAAAGTTATTGGAGCTATTCTGTGAAACATGTGATACATTAATATGTGTTAACTGCTCATATCGTAATCATAAACATCATGAATGTGACTTAGTCACCGACAGTTATACTAAACACAAAGAAGCACTGGAGAAATCTCTTAATCCAGTAAAAGGGAAAATTGAAGGACTCAAGAAGGTTCTGTCTGCTCTAGCAGAGAGAGAGGATGAAATCAGAGAGAGAAGAGAAGGAATCCTAGAAGAAATACATGAAATGGTAGAGGAAATGATGGATGTTCTTCGTCAGTCAGAGAGGAAACTGACTGAGCAGGCAATAAGGGTCACTGATGATAAACTGAAGGTGCTGTCAGACCAAATGAAATCAGCAGAAATGAGTTTGAGTCTTCTGGAGGATTTTGTGGAACAGAGTCTGAAGACAGGTAGTCCTCCAGAAGTCCTGAGGTCTAAGAAACAGTTGATGGAGCGTATGAGTGAAGTTACTGGAGGGATCAATTTGGAGGAGTTAAATCCAAAGGAAGAAGCTGATGTAAAGATATCAAATCGCTACATCACATTGGAGATATTATTATACCATCACAATCTAGAGTAAAAAGAATTGATCATATTACACTTGCTGGTAAAGCAGTTTCGTTTTCGTTAATCCTGTCTATTCAGCACCTGCATGAAGCAGCCAATCCAAGGGAACACTCTCCTTCAATGGATGTCTTCAGTTATGGTGTCCTCCTTCTAGAGATGATAACACGACGTATTCCTCTACCAGAAGAGAGAGTAGGTCTTATTGATGGTATTAGAAGAGCCTCGTTTAAGTCTCTTGTTCAGCGCTGCCTGATAGTTGAGTATAGACACTGTCCAACAATGAATGATATTATAACTGAACTAAATGATACTATTTAAAATAAACCTGTTACCTTTGGAGTTAGTATTTGTCCTTTTTCATATTTTGATGTTTAGTTAAAATTGATTAAAATAGACATTAATTTTTTTATTAAAAAGTAAATTTTAAAATTTTATTTGAATCAAATTAAAATGTTCAATAAAGTTCTTCTAAACATAATACCCAGAGAAAATATTTTGTAGTTTCTTGTGTCTTTTTTTCTTGGCAAGTGTTAAAAATTCGTCTTTTACAGTGTGTCCTCTTATTATACTCTGCAAGTACTTATAGTATAAAAGCAACAATTAATAGCCTATGGATGATAAACATGCATGTAATAATACACAATGAGTATGCCTGTGCATTCTTCATTGTGTTTTTGAGCACCTCTTCTCTCAGTTCCTCAAGTTCTTAACTTTTCTCATCAACATTCTATGAATAATGAATGTGTTGCAAGTGTGTCCTTTTTCTGTCATACTCCTCTCTTTGTAGTGCTGATATTGCTGCTCCTTGTGACGATGACAATTTATATTGTTGGGCTCTACCATCTAAAATAAATACAATATACATAAGCACATACAAATGTGCATGTACTGCTATAGATCAACACATGCATAAATTATTAAATCATATGAAATGCTACAAAATTGCAATAAAACCATACATATAGCAAAGTACTTGCACATTAGCTTACTATCACTAGGATATATCTTATCATTCTTTCCAGAATCCATGATAGCTGTTTCTTTGATTGGGGTACATCTTTATTCATCTCTGACTCCAGTGTTCCAGTAGTTCTTGTGTACAGAGTATCTCTGTATAATATGTCTCTTTCTATGTCTCCATTTCTTTTAATAGTGTTCATTGTATGTCTCGTTCCATTATTGATATTAGTTCATCTTTATCTCTCATTAATCTCTCTAGTCCATGTATCCTGTGCTTCTATGAGGATATTACATATACAGCACTTACATATTGATGTCTTTATCCTGTGTATGAAGTTTTAAACACATCCAATATAAAATTTTGAGTTATGAGCAAATAAATGCAGGCCTTAAATATTTGATTTTGCATGACATATACTTGTAATGATTGTGTGTCGGTGGATATTGTAACTCATTATTATTTTTATTTATTTTTCAGTGGTAGCATGGAGCCAGCATTTTTTAGAGGTGATCCTTTTTGACTAATTATGAAGAGGGTTCAATAAAATCTGGGAAGATTATAGTATTCAAAGTAAAGGACAGAGATATACCAATCGTACACACGGAACAGTACATGAGGAGAAAGCTAAGAGAGAAAGTGGGGGAGAACAGAGGGAGAAAGAGGGAGGATACATGTATGTCTTGATATATGTATTCTTTCTAATGTGATTGATTGGTGTGTATACAGCATTTGGCTATTTTGTTTACTATATGTAAGTATTATTGCTTTACAATTCCTATTTTTGATGGATATGTGCACTTTATTTAAACATGCCGATAGGGATGTTTAAAATTTTTAATGTTTTTACACCTTTTCTTTTTATAAAATGAATGCTCTACATGTCTCATTACCCAGTCTACTTGTCTTGTTACAATAATGCATGTACATTTTACATACAGTGTTATGTTCACTGCGCTCTTAGATTTTGCTAAAAAAATTGCATTGTATATGGCATTAGTTTCTTTTGATCTCTTTTCCTCCCTCTCTCTTTATAGTCATAATGGTGAGGTATATCTCCTAACTAAAGGTGATAATAATCAGGTTGATGACAGAGGATTGTACGCTCCAGAAAAGCTGTGGGTTAAAATGGATGAAGCAGTAGAACATGCTAGAGGGTAAGAAACAATAATTTATGATAATTTTTAACAACATGATGTTTTAGTTTCCTGCCATACATCGGAATGGTCACAATAAATTAATGAAGGATTACCCAAAACTGAAAGTGAGAGCATTATTTTAATCATTTGCTGTTATCTTTATCTCTTTATCATACAGTATCTTCTTTTATATGTGGCTTAGCAGTTTTTGTTATACTGCATAGGGAGTAGTCATTAATTGATTCCTTTGATCATTACACTATAATCATTATTTTGTTGAATAAATTAATAATATACTCTAATTGGCATCTTGCCATAGAATACCACAAAAATCACTCACAAAAAGGTAGCAAAAACTATTAAAACAGTAAAAGCAATGTTAGTGAACACAGCAAAAGTAAATTATGAAAAGTGAACAAAAGCTTAAAGTTGCTGTTGTACTGTAGGGTTGTTAGTGCTACCATAAGTAGCAGTAGTAGGAATATAATTAGTATCATTATCATTATTAGCAGGTTGTTCAATGTTAGGTGGTAAATAATCTTCAATTGGAACTTGAACATGTTGTTCATTATATTCCAGTGGATTCTCCATACGATCAGCAATCCAATCATCAACCACTAATGGCTGACTCTCTTCTTGTTCTTCTATATTAGCTGGTACAGTGCGATTGTGTAGCTTGTGATAATTAATACAATTGATGATGGTCTTTATTATTTGGTGTATGATGTACAATGGTAATATTACACCAAATAATAGAATATTAAGTATAAAAAATGAAGTACTAGAGCCTGGTAAATTAATGCTAACAATATCATGATTTACAAAAATGAAATATCCCATTTGAAAGATTAACATCATTACTTCAGTAAAGCTGTGAATGTTCCTTTTAAAAGGACGAAATACAAGAATTATTATTGCAAGCAAAAAAACAATAGACACCTGAACTGTAGGTACTATATAGTATTCATCATAATCAAATGAAAACTCTAAAAGGAAGGCAATGATTTTTGCCAGTAGGTAAAGTCCAGCAAAAAATCGATAATCATAAGTGTTCTCAGTTCCATTCTTAAAAGGACCAGTAAACACATCACACAGTGATATCAGTAGCTGCTTTCTCAAACGTAAACAATCCAATAACTTATGGAACCATTTGAATGGATAAAGCAGTATACAAAGTGTTGGTAGGAGTATCATAATCAGTAGGACTGAGATAGCAAATGAACCAGCAACAGCATGAGCACCATGAAAATATTGAACATAAGAATCATAAAAGAAAACGAAAATACCATCATTCATATAAAAATTATAGTTAAAACACAATATTTTAAAAGAAGTACCAGTCAATTGTGTGAAGCAGAGTACATATATTGATGCTATAGAGTGAGTAAAAGATGGTTCAATGCCAGTCATATTCCAGAAACGAGCCATGCAACAATGAAATGGTCTAGTAACCAATACTACACACTTGTAACCTTTATCATACAATGTTATCCAAAGATAGAGTAAGAGGAGGAGGAACAATGGATAGAATCCTATCACATACCAAAAGGAAATAGCACCCAATGGAGACATGTTAGGAATTATACATAATAAATAGTTACCAAGAAATGGTGTGAAGTCTAAACTGAAGATGTTGCACGGTATTGCAAAAAGATTAAAAGTTATGTAGTCAGCTGTTACTAATGCATAATTAGAATAAGTGAAGAACATTGCTTGTGAATAAAAGACTAACCCATTAATTGATCCATTAGTTAATTGTATATTAAATATTATTACCATTAATACCATCAGTGTTATTGGTATTATTTCTATTCCAATAAATACTAGTGTATTAATTGGATATTCTTCACATTGAATGCATTCACTAATTTTATTAATAGACACTCCATAACCTGATGGGCATATAGTACAAGTAGGATATGACTGTGAACTATTATCATAGCATACATTGCTATAAGAAACTGGGTCAGTGTATCTGGTAAAAATGGGACAATATTCCTGATTTGTACATAGTGGAATAATAAGCTCACAATCTCCATCAATGTAAGTCAATGGTAGCTGGCAAAATTTCGTCAATGTTACGTTTATCTTACTAATGGTGCTGGCTTTTAATTCTCCCAATGTACTGACATTTAATGTTAATTCAATAGGATCACCAGTAATGTGTTTATAGCATGGAGGTAACTCATAGTAGTAGCTAGGATAGTTAGGACATCTTGAATTGTAATTGTCATATTCATCACAATGTTTGCATTTGATATTCATATTATAAGAAGCATCACTTTGTGATATTGAGTCACATGCATGTACATGTATATCATTTCTCCAATCAAATGTTGCACCATTACAATCAGTGACAGAAGCAGTAAACACAAATTTGTCACAATCACAATGACTCTCTAAGTCAAATGCTGGGCATAATATTTGTTTATTAATTGGCGTAATTTTGATATTGGGACAATCATTCTGTGACAGTGTGTTACTTACTGATGTAGAAACAGACAGTGGTATATTAGACCTACTAGCAGTACTTACGTTATTCACTAGATTTACTAGTTGCAGTTCAATAGTAGTAGTAGCTTCTAGTGTGTCATTACCAGTAGGATTAATGTAGACAATAGTAACTGATGAACAGTTGTCTCTTACATCAGTAGCAGCAGTTCTTTGTATTGCTAAATCAATAGTAGCACAAGGTGTTTGAACTCCTCCAGTCCAACAATAGGTATTGTTGATACCATCAGATGAACTGACATAGATCCTACACTCCAAACCAGCAGCAGAATAGGCTAGAACAAGAGAAGTAATGAACAACAATAGAACAATTGTACTAGACATTTTGGGTGTTATTGATTTTACAAATGTTGACTGATGTGATCAACCTTATATATAGTAAAGGGTGTAAATTTTGGTATCAGTTTCAGTTTCATTACTCTCATTTTATTGAATGATTTGTGATGAAATCAAGTTTTTTCACCTTCTTCAAGCGCTCAAAACATTACATTGATGATCAATAGTTATGTTGTGTATACTATAATCTTTATAAAATGTCAATAAGACGTTCAATAGTTTGTATGCATGTTTAAAATTAAATGTACATGTAAAATATCTAGTGCATAAAGACTGCTATCGATATCGCTTAAAAATTTAATTTTACGCAAAAAGTAGAGGGTGTGGTCATAAGTATAAATTAAAACCATAAAATTATAGAGTAAATGAAATGTCCTAGGACTAGGCCTTGGCGGATTATGCTAGCATAATTTTGAGCATAATAGGACCCAAAAGCATAAGCATAATGTAAGCATAATAGAGCTATAAAAGAAAGTTTTGAAAAATGCATTGAGAAATGCAATAAACAGGCACTTGCACTCAATAAATTAACTGTTTTCATGTTTAAACAGCTACTATTGCTCACAATATACTTTAAGAACTTCATAATTGAATTACTGGCTCACATTTTCGGGTGGGGCTAAGTTATTATAATGAAATTCATGGGAATAATTGGGAGCATAATGGCTGATTAGTAGAGCATAATAGAGCTGTTTCCTGAGAATTGCAGCATAGCATAATAGAGTAATTTTAGAGCATAATCCGCCAAACCCTACCTAGGACAAACTAATCGGAGATATTTATCAATCCAACGGTTTGGCTGAAGAATGATGATAAGAAGTTGAGTTGGAGTAAGACAAAAGAACCTTGAAAGACTCTCACGGCCTATAGAACAAAGGTCAGTGAAGAGAAAGGAGAAAAAAATTATTTTTATTTAAATTTAAGTCATACTTATGCATGTAATTTTTATGGACTTTCTACAAAATTATTATTATTATTAGTATTATTATTATTGTTAGGGTGTTACTGAGCAGGGTTCTATCCAGTGGGGGGGAAGCTTCTCCCCCAAACTCTTCATCTTCCCCCCCAAAACTTCAAGCTTCCCCCCTGTGTACTTCTGTAACTGCATGCATGTGCATACATGTACATACACATGTATGTACACAACCTTCCCCCCCCTGGTCAACTGCTCTGGGCTTCCTCCCCAAACAAAAATTTCTAGATAGAACCCTGCTGAGTGATGTTACTATTGATGAACTTAAAGAACTTCAAGCTCAAATTACTGAATTAAAGTACCGTAAATGTTCAAATAAAGGCCAGGCTTGAATAAACGCCTGGTACTAAGAATCTCAAAGTATAGATACGCATATTTTACCCAATATAAGTAACATAATCTTTAGAGTCTCCCAAATGGCCTCTGTGTGCAAGGAACTTGGAGGTCCGGGTTCGAATCTCAGTTTTACTTTTTCTTTTTTTATTTTACACAATTTTTTTGTCCTGGAAAGAAACATAGATATAATACACAAAACGGGATTAGAAACATGATCACGGGAGCGCATTATCCATTTAAACACTCCTAGTTATATCGGAACCCCGGGTAGCTGCTCGACTATTGCACAGTCCCCCAACTGTCTCTTTTCAAAAAGTTTGTGGGACTCTAGCAACTTCGGGAGACAGCATGACGCACTAGTATGAGCTTTTATGGCTACTCTCTGAGGATCTTTAGTGCATTAAGACATTTATTAGTGCTTAAACAGAAGTTTTAGAAAGTTATGGCATGTCAAAACCAAAGGCCATATTTCAATGGCGTCAGTACTCTAAAACTATTAAACGCAGTCCATAACAAACACCACTGTGCACTGTAAGAGGTTAAGAAGTAACCATAAAAGCAGATATTTAGTTACAAAACTATCAGATATCGTCTGGAGAGTCCCACAAAGTATCTCCATTCATCTCTATTACGGGACCAGTTCCCAGCAAACTAGGAGTGTTTCAATGGATAATGCACTCACGTGATCCTGTTTCTAATCCCGTTCTGTGTATTATATCTATGAAAGAAATAAACGCCCGGGCTTTTATTTGAACATTTACGGTATAAGAAAGATAAGAATAATAACAGTTTATAAATGTATATATACATGCATGTACATGTACATGTATAATAAGAGAGAGTATCTATTTTTATATATATTTATATTTGTATTTACTTCTCCTCCTCTCATTCTTTCTTCCCCAGGACTAAGAATACCCATCAGTTATTAGTCCATTCAGATGATCTGGACTAGAACACCGTCAATAGCATACAAACAATTCAACTCTGAAAACTCAGTGTACGACTGCTATACCTTCGATATAAGAACTTTCCTTCAGCCGTTGGTCAACCACAAAGAATAGACACCCAAAGATTTATGGAGGCTAAATGAGATAACAAAGAAATATGACGAGTATAACTGGGAGTCCATTGCTAATGAGCTCAACACTGGAAGAACTGCTGTGCAGTGTTTGAGGTGTTATAAGAC